GATTTTTCGTGTCGCTTATCATGCGGATATGGTCATTTTGTCACCTCTTTAGTGGTCACCAAGCGCTGCCCCCGCTTCTGTCATCGTAATGTCCTAGAATTTTTTAAATAGTAATCTACAATGTGACTGTATAGAGGCATTTCGGTTGGTCTTCAAAGATATCATCTTCTATGTGTTTTCGTTGATTGCATTGTTTTGTGAATCGGTATAGGTCTTTCAAATCGTTTCCTTTCATCTCTGTCACCATCTAGCTCAAGGCGCCTACTACAGTGTAAGAGATGCTACTCTAGGACGGATCGACCAATCTCAAATGGATCGTGCTTGACCAGCCATTGCGGAAATGGATTCCAGTCCCATGTAAATACTTGTCCCAACAATGCAAGTGTATTCACCAATAGATCACACTGCTGCTGCTCTTTTTCTGGAGCAAGCATATAGCATGGCTGGGCTCTGCCGCTTAGTCATGTCCCGCAGTTTAACATTGAATATCAATATGAATTTTTAAGATGATTCCGTATTGTCGTCTGGTGCTTGTTCTACCCGTAATGAACTTCATTATCAATCGTTATCATCCGTACCATAAGACACGCGTGGCGTAGAACAGTCAGTTCAACATTCAACGTCTAGATGCAAACTGTCACATTCAAAATAAATTCACGGCACCGATGGTGCACAGAATCATGGATCGCTAACAATTCACGTCTTGGGCAAAAGCTAATCTGTGGACATTTTCCACAGAACTCCACCACACAGTTGTTGACGCACGCAATGAAGCTGTTTTTGCTCAAAAAGTAACAGTAATCTATTTGATTGGCTAATCACCCAACCTGTGCAATATTATCTCACTTACACCGTGTAGTAAAATATCAAGCACGTGATCCAAGAAGTCACATTGAAAGCGAGCACAGATGGACCGGTCATACAGTAAGAAGAGTATACGACGATTGGACAAAATGAACCATGAAGTGGACTTCATGTGGTTCCACCAGACCTGAGGGCGATCACCCGCACGTTGGGCGGACGTGTTTGTTAGAAGAATTAATCAGCTGTACTCGCTGCTGCCGACATTCCACACATCACGCTGTAAAACTCGAGGAAACCATGCTCGAATAAAACCATCATCATGGAGGACTAGCGCAAGAAAAAGAAAAGGATAATAAAAGCTTTCGGCGTTAATCAATCCCTGAGAGATCCGCCATGTATTCGCCTTTGATTCTTAACTTCGTTCGAAGTGATTGAATGCATATCCGGCCTTTGCAATGACTCGCGGTGGTCTCCCTCTGAACCGAGTCAGTGCTGCTTATCCTCCTAGACAAGTTTAAGACCAGTCTAATACCAATTTATCAACCCCCAAGGGATGGATAGCTTGATGAGCCATGAACGCGAGATCGAACCATTAACCACGCGTGCGACGCAGAGCACCTGTAACCACTGCGGCACATGCGCTCAAGAAGATGAAACTAAAATAATGGAAAGAACTGAAGAGTGCGACCATAGCGATCACGTATGAACGCTTCAGTTCTCCCCCGAAGTTGCAAAGAGATTCCACTTGACCATATTTTGAAGCATCGAAGCCAGCGCGATTTGATTGAAAAACCTTAACATTATAAATGTGAGGAAACGAATCGAACGCAGTGAAGTGCTGAGATTAGCGCAGAAGATATGATCACATGTCACGTAAAATAGCCATATTTATCAATTTGGAATATTTTGAGAGAAAAAAGTGGACTATTTTCGATCCAGGCTGATCAAGGAACAGAAACTCATACTAACAGAATGCACAAACTGCTAACAAGTTTAAGAGCGCGTGGCTGGGCACTGTTTAGTGAGAATTCCAACTAATGAATATGTCTCCCTCACTGCAAAAGGCATATCTGAACAAACTGATCAGTGAAGGTATTTGCGGAAACGCGTGATGCACACAGAAAACATTTCGCAGTATCTAAATCATGATCGCGGCAGCATGTTTGCTTGCAAATCGTCATCGCTGAAAAAAGAAGGTAGACCCGAATCTAAATTTGTGATACGTGATCCCGACGAACTACGTGACCGATCTCATAACTATCTACCTATCTATCTTTCTATCTATCCAATATATATATATATATGTATATATATATATATACATATATACATATATATAATATATACTAGAGCAGAACACCTCATGGGTTATCACACATGGATACATCACACCTTTGGAACAGGAATATTAGTGATTAAGCCCCCTATTCAATTCAGTAGTTAACCTTACAGCAAACGATGTTGAAATCACAAGAACTTGACTCTGAAGATATAAGTTAACAATTTATGTACACTTTTACAGTCAAACGAGTTTCGGCACATCACACATTCAAGTGCTGTTCGATGCTGCGTGCCCAGTGATTACTTTGCTTCTCTGGCTCAAAGTTTCGGATATCCATCTGCTTCTTTCCCTTCTTCAGTGATTGGGCAAACTCCTGAGAAAATCACTCTATAGTTACAACATGGACGATGAAAAAAAATTCAAAGACGAACAGAACGGATCATCACACCTGAGTGCTCACAAATGCATTTGAGATAAAAGGTGACGTTTCCGAAGTAGTTCGTGAAATCTGAAGCAGCAACTCTTCACTTCACATTACTACATAATCTCTGAGTTTTAATGGGGATATTATTTTATAAATATTACTGGCGCTTTTGAAAGCAAGCGCGATGATGTATCAGTTATACGCAGAGTATGTGCAAGACCGAGTGAGTTAAAATGTATATAAGGAGTTTGGTAATCGGAAGCATCTCTTACATATCCGATTGCATCAACGGATGACACAATCATTTTTTTAATTGATAGTTGAAAAGGCCATTTTTCATAGATGTTTAGTAATTGACAGTATGAAAAAGGTCATTTTCTAAAGGTGGTTACCTTAAAGGTCATTGACAGAAAGGAGCGCATGGGGAGCAGTGATTGAGCTGGTCCGCGTCGCATACAAGGTTGATGGCTTGATCTCGCTCTCATTCCTCACCCGCCATCCATTCCTCCGGGTGATACGGAACTGGTCTCAAATTTGTCTGGGAGGATAAGCAGCGCTGACGGGGTAGAGCAGGAGGTCACCGCGAGTCATTGTAAGGACCAAATATGCATTCAATCACCGAGATCGAGGTTTGAAAAGTTGAAGACAAATGCATGGCGCATCCCTCAGGGATTGATCAACGCCGAGAGCTTTATCCTTTATCCTTCAATTGACATTACAAAATGACAGACGTTAGTACTGAAGTGATTATTTGGTGCTATGATTTTTTTTCTAAGTTTCTTAGCAAAAGTTGGAGGAACTGGGGAGAGCGTTTGCAAAACCCATAAAAGCTTCGCTAATTATGAGACCAAGGTGATTGAACTCCGACGCTGTGTCGTGACACTTACAGCCTTTACAAGAGGAATGGAGAGAATCATTCACATTTGCTAATTGGATTTCTTCGATGGCGATGTGCTCTTACCATCATAAAAAATTTGAATAGGACAAATCTGTTTTTCCACCGGCTCGCCCTTTCAAAATACGACGCGCTATGTCGTTGATGAAGAGTGGAACAACATCTGCTCCAAACAGGATTGAATTAGAGCAGCCGAAAAACCTACCCATAGCCCTTATGGACAGTCTGGCTCAGCTCTTCACTTGCTACCTGTCAAAATGGAAGGTTCTCAGTCAGTGGAAAACCAGCAGGACTTTGTTTTGTTCAAAAACAGAGACCTTCACGACACAGTCAGTTATCGCCTAATATGTTTGTTGTCCGCCGTCTATAAACTCCTCAGTCGAGTCATCCTGAACACGATTGGCAGGACACAGCACGAAGGAAGAGCATGCGATGAATCAGGGTTTTGAAAACGATTTGGTAACATAGACCACATCCCCACGATCACAAGAGTCATTGAAGTTTCACGAAAAACGAACTACCGCTCTGTACACTTTCATCTCTTTGTAAAAAGCCTTCGATTCAGTGGAAATAGAAGCGGTCATAGAGCCTTTGGACATCCAAAGCGCCCCTATCCGGTACATAGCGATCCTTCATGATACGAAGAATTCAGAACTCACATTTTGTCATTCTATAACAACATTAATATCACCAAAACTAATCCATTAAATCGACTGTTTCTAAAACCTCGTAATAAACATTTAAAATAATTCCAAAAAAAAAGAATGTTTTAGCTTAAACGAGGTTGGTACGCCAGGGCCATGAACCGGTGTTTCGGAGGTTCGTCCACCTCGTCAGTGACCCCCACCCCACATTAAGCCCTGCATTGTAGCAAGGAGGGAGGCGTATGTGGTATGTGGTGATGGCATAGTGTACAATACACTGGTCCATCACCATCAGTCGATGCCAGCCGAAACCATCGACTGACGAGGAGGACGAACCTCCGAAACACCGGTGTATGGCCCTGGCGTACCAACCTCGCTTAGGCTAAAACATTTTTTTTTTGGAATTATTTTGAATGTTTATTACGAGGTTTTAGGAACAGTCGATTTAATGGATAAGTTTTGGTCTACCAGCCGAAACCATGACTGATGGTGATGGAGCAATGTATTGTACACTATGCCATCACCACATACCACATACGCCTCCCTCCTTGCTACAATGCAGGGCTTAATGTGGGGTGGGGGTCACTGACGAGGAGGACGAACCTTTGAAACACCGGTGTATGGCCCTGGCGTACCAACCTAGTTTAGGCTGAAACATTCTTTTTTTTGGAATTATTTTGAATTAATATCACCATCGGAAGTGGAATCTGAAAAGGCATTTCACTATCACCTTCCAAAACGTCATGCGAACATTAGATTTGGACGATATGGGAGTTAAAATCGACGATCGACAATTAAACCATCCTTGTTTCGCTGATGACATCGTCCTCAGAAAACCAAACATCAGCCAGGCACAGCGAATGTTGATCGCTTTCGACAACGCCTATAGAAAGATTGGTCTTCGACTAGATCTAACGAAAAAGAGAGGAAATTGAGTAGTGAGCAAAAACACGCCCTCAGGCGGGAATTAAACCCGCGTTTCATCCTATCCGGGGGAGCGCCCTCGAACCACTACACCACCGAGGCACATTTGCCCGGCCACTCATTCTTCAACATCTTTATGTTCGCTATCAGCCACCAACCTTCAACAGGTTTGGTCGGATATGCGATTTCGCTTTATAAATTCCGTTAAGCTGGTCAGCTTAATGCTAAATGCTAAATGCTAAATGTGCCTCGGTGGTGTAGTGGTTAGAGCACGCGTCCTCGGATAAGATGAAACGCGGGTTCAATTCCCGCCTGAGGCCGTGTTCATGCTCACCACTCAATTCTCTAAGTTATATAAGTAACATCATAACACTGCGAAATAAGCAGTGGAAGTACTAAATTTTCGAAAAAGAGAGGAATGGATGAGTTTTAAATGTTCCATTCATCCTGAACGAAACAAGCATTTCCGAATGGTTACGGCTATCTAGGCCGTGAAGTCAGCATGATGAATGCCGTAGCTCCAGAGCAAGAGGAAACGAGCGGTTTGAGGAGCGTTTAAGAGCATTGTGGATGTAGTAAAAAAGCGAAGAACATCCGATTTCATGCCCACCCTTTCTTTTCACTCAACGGTTCTCCCTGCCCTTACGTATGCAGCAGAAACCTGGTCGCTACGTAGGCAAGATGAAAGACCATCTGGCGTTATTGAACGCACAGCCGAAGGGTCGATGCTAGGAGAATTGTATTTCGTGAATGAGAGGAAGGATCTGAAGGTCTGACCTGGGTCATCGATCAAGAGGGAGGGATGCCCTACACGCCAGGCTATCGAAACTATGGTGGTCGAGCACGTGGGTGCGCTTCAATGGCAACCGGTGGAGGAGAGCCGTTACCGACTGAATTCCTCAAGATGTCAAGCGCTCCACAGGAAGACCACCGATGCCATGATCCGATTTCTTCACGAAAAGCCCCGAAAAAAGATATTATTTCCAGCAAATCCCTGAAGCGAGGGAGACCCACTGGGCTGCTCTTGCACATGATGAGGAAAATGGAAGTGCTGTTGGCTTCCGCTTGGGTTACTCGGCGATCAATGGGACGACAGGTGATACAGGTTACAGGTGGTGTTTTTGTTCAGCAACATTACTGAACGAGGCTGAATATACTTCATTTTGAGAAAATGCTAACTCTACTACTAGAAGTTATAGAAATCTACCAAAATGGTCTTGTTCGTCATATTTACAGAATAAATAATTTCTCCGTGTAATTCACCGCTTGCTCTTGCAGGTAAAACAGCGGTAGTATGTATCTGAATTATGAATTTAGAACAGTAGGAACACTTTTGCAGCCTATGTCGACCAACTGTGCATACCGATGTAGACAAGCAGCGCATGATTTAAGAAGGCAAATATACAAATATGTAAATGTCTAGTGGAGGAGATATTCGTGAGAACCTACTTCTTGACCGGCCCTAGGAGATGCAAGCTGGATTCGATGCACCAGTTATACCCAAAAGAACATAGCGATTGGAATAGTTGAGCTTCACCAATGGTCCACCGCTTTCGGCTTACAAAACAGTATTGGCGCACTATTTTTGACATTTACTGGAAGCAACAAGGAAATAATAAGCAGGTTGATGTCAGAATTCGAATTGGTTACCGAGCAAACTGATTTTGCTACTGCAAATGTCAGTATTCGGCTCTTGATTAGTTTGATATGATCAAAGTCTACTGATCGCAGCTCGGCTTCCCATGGCGAAGTGCTAGCTGAAGAGCGAAAGAAGAAATTTTTTTTGGCAAAGACTTTTGAATAACATTTCAATGGAGAAATATCAGTAAGGTAATTTTTTCACAGTAAGAAAACTTCTAGACGAATAAGCAATGAACGTTTAAAAGAATGAGCATGTTTGCTTACGGTCTATTCCAAATCCTACTGCTGTCAGTTTCCTACTCAAGCCCTCCTTCTCTGAAGGCATACAAATTGGCGATCATCCTTCTCCGAAGTAAGTCCACTGATTTCAAGTATAGCCACGTCGTTCATGGAATGACAGGGCTCGACTTAGGGTGAACATGAATCTAGAATATTATCATACTTATGGTGTTGATGATATGCGCTCATCTATATCACAGGCTACTAGGAGTGCATGATTCGCATGATGCTGGGTGACATTCTACGAAAACTGTAAAACCATGTCTTACGTTGGTTAGTTTGTATTGCGTGCGCTCTGTCCAGCGTTCTTGAGGATTGGCGCAACGACATCCGGCAAGGACTGTGAAATCTACGTTATTCAGCGCCACATAACTCAGTCTGAGAGAATCAGAAATATGGATAATTTTGAAGGCGAAATATCGATGAATATACTAATCAGCATTGTTAATTACTGTTGGGGAATCGTGCGCATCGCTTTCCGGTGTGGTAGAAATTTTCTGGTATACTGAAATTTGAGCTGTGGTCTTAGAAAACACTTAAAAAGAAAGGCAGTATTTTTATATTACATTGATAAAAAAATTCGCTATAATGTTCAAATGGCGAGTTGACCACTTCGGCTACACAACGTAATCATCTTTCGCTCTTCTAACGCTCAATAAAGATTTTTTCAAAATTGATTACGTTACCGTAGTCATTGAAAACTGAGCTAAGCAACGATGAGCACTAAAAGTAAAGAGTAAGCCTACTGAGAGACTTTAGCCGAGCGAAAAACACAATTCGGAAATGGAACAGAATTTTGCCCTTGCTGCTTGAGCACGTTTGAAAGGCTTTCTTAAAAGGTGAATGCATTATTGAAATTGCCTTTTTTTAGAGAGTCGAATGAGTATTGCAAACTAATGCAAAATCTCTGTGAGGCTAATAATCCAGGGAAGGGGCGCAATCAGTGTTTTGCACGTCGTTCTCAAGGGATTAACTCGTTCAAGACGCGGTTGAAGCCGTCACGTACACTGCAGTCACTGCCGACGAGCGACTTTTGGTACTAATCCAGGTTTTTTTCTCTGCATTAGAAGTGGGACTGCGCACTTTCCACAGTAGGTGTCATAAAACTATTCATGCACTCTTCGAGAAATCTTGACAACTCAAACCAATTTATGGTCAATTATAGGCTTTACCTGTTTGACAAAGCGCACTTCCCTTTTGTGTCTCATTCGTTGAGCGACATCTGCGGACATACCATCAAGATCCTGAAATTCAATCACATTAAAGATAAATTCGAAGAATAGCTTCCGTTCTAGCTAAGCTTGAAGGAAAACTTGCACTCATACAGTCACTCAAGGAGGTTTTGATCAAAACGTAGTAGATCTCAAGTAAACAGAATGCTCATTGTAGCTTACAAATGCACGCGTTTACATAGACAATAAATCCATATCATCGACTGTTTTGTAACCTCGCTACAGACATTCAGTATAATCTATAAAAATGCCTCAAACCTGCCGAGGTTGTTACGTTAGAGCCATACACGTATTTTGGATTTATCGCCATCTTCATCAGTGACCAGGCTCCACAATGAGCCCTCTCTAACAGCAGGGAGGAAAGACGTATGCGGTGATAATACGCGATAATGTGTTATCAAACTTTTTCAGTACATGGATTGTGCTTGGCAGTAGATCTCTACTGATCCATCTCATCGACTGTTTTTTAGCCTCACCATAAACATTCAATGTGATCTTCTGGTCGTTAGATGGGAAATCGCAAAGTGCATACCTAGAGTGGAGGCGCGAGTGAATGTGTTGCGCTCCTCTCTAGGCGATTGAAACAGAGGGAATTTTAACCGCACTTATACCAATCATCCAACGACCAACGAGACGACAGTTGGTACAGAAAGTCGTAGCCAATTTATTCGCAGCTAACCTTGTGTTTAACTCTCATACAGATTAACGTGGTGCAGTCGAGTGAAGCAATTAAAACCACAACGGCTCGAGTAGTGTACGAGAGGATGACGTCAATAATATGACCGCAGGTTGTGTCGGAGAACATCCACTGCCACTTTTTGGGATCATAGATGAAGAAACAACTCTTGGCTGAAAGAAAACCAATGTGTGCCTTGTAGACGAACACCTCGAAAATTTGCACCGTGTGAAGAGTTGTGGTGCTATCAATTTTTGAGAGACTAGGCTTGGGCTTAGGCTCACGCATAAGCCTATAGCCTAAGTTTGAGTCACATCTGATAAATTGATGAGATCACAGCTTTTCACTAACAATGAAAGATCTTATAGGCTTCACATCGCAATATGTTTGTGATTGAGTGAAGCACAATTAGTTGTGATATAACGCAACTTGCTCCAGAAACTGGCTTAAGATCGTCATCATCATTTTTTGCAAAAGGCGCTCAATCACATAAAAGTTATGACATCTGTTGTGAAAGAGTACTCGGTGCAATTTTGAACAATGCGAGTTCACATGGCTTTTGATCAGCGCCAAGAGTTAGCCAAACACTCCATCACTTCAAAGTTGGCAGTAGTCACACTTTTTTGCTTGGAAAGAGGACTCGCATTAATTGACATTTGAAAGTGTGATGTTTGTGAATATTTGTGTGTGCCTAGTACGGTCGAATTTATGGAGCTTTTAGAAAATCTAATCAACAAGAGCAGTTTTACTTCTTTGCTTTGTCATTTTAGTACAGGTTACGCAAATCAAATTCAAATTCAACAACCACTGCTAATCCTACTTCTACTTTCTAACACCATATATCTCGCTAACTACAACATAGCAGAACTCACTCCAAAGATTCGGTATCACATGAAAGAAACTCGACGTCCAACAGATCAGGACGACGAAACAGGTTTTTTTGCAGTAAGTAAGGCGGAAAAACATGTAGAGGAAATGTGATAGCGATGAGTCTGTTCAAGGCAATGACGAGGTGAGAATAGATGCATGAATATCAAGATATTAGAATCACCATGCCAAGTAGTTTTCCAATTCATCCGATGGACTGAGCATTTTCACTGAATATCATAAGAATTGATTTTGTACTTTCTAAACCCTAAACTCTTTATGGAGTTTAGGAAAAAAATCACAATACTTTCTTTTTCACTATTCATAATAAAGGTACCATTTTTTGGAGCCTATGGAGGTCTAGCCTATGCAAAACTCTGAGTTTCAAGTTGCACGTGAACACGCGC